AAACTTGAATTCTGCGGTGGTCGCTGGCATCGTGGGAAGTAATTTATGAGCGGCAGGCTCTCAGGAGTGATCTGTTATGTCTGAGGAGACCTGCACCAGCGCCACAATCTGGAGGCACTGAAGAGCGCTAAACACCCTGCTGCGGCTTGAGCTGTGTGTCCCGTCTCCCGGGTGGGTGGGGGACGGGGAGGAAGGGAGGCTCTTACTAGAAAAAGCCGTTCAGAAATATCTGGGCCCAAAAGGGGTGCTGGAGCATCCGCGGGATGTTTACATCCGCTTCGTTATTAAAAATCTTCCTCTAAAATATTTTAAGACCCAAATTGGAAGTCAGTGAGTTAAGTGGGCATGAAGCTGCATGGGGCCTTGGAATGTCTGGATGTGCTGAGCGGCGGTCAGCAGGAGGGCTTTCCGCTAACTGTGTCCTTGTTACTGCTTGTGAGATAGGCTACATGGCTCTGGCTTCTTCCGGAAGAGAAGTTTGGAGGCTCTTTCTGGGGTCAGTGATGAGATTCCTAAACCACAGAAGTCATGATGGATTTCCATGTAGGTGTCTTCATTGGGTAGTGAGAGAACTCTGTCTCAACCAATGGGGTGTCTGAGGAATGCCTGGTATATGAACCACTTTTTTCATTAAAGAAAAATAGAACTAAATTTATTTATGTGTGTGTATACGAAAGTGAATGCTACAGCTTGTGTTTGTGTGTGTGGAGCCCAGAGACAACTTTTGGGAGTTGGTTCTTTTTTTTTCTCCCTTGGTTTTTCGAGACAGGGTTACTCTGTATAGCTTTGGAGCCTGTTCTGGAACTCACTCTGTAGACCAGGATGGCTTCGAACTCTGCCATCTGTCTGCCTCTGCCTCCTGAGTACTGGGATTAAAGGCGTGCGCCACCACTGCCCGGGATGAAGTTGGTTCTTTCTTTCTGCTGTGCCATGGGGTTACAACAATGAAACTCAAGTGACAGCCTTGCTGGTGGGCATCTTTACACACTGAACCACCTTGCTGGCCCTCATTCTGCTCTTACCTTACCAATAATTTATTGGACTCCTAGTAAACGCTCAACACCAAAGGCTACGTAGATTCAGTGTGGTGCCTAGCGGATGGGAGAGAAGAATGTATGTGCTGTCATTGATTAGGGCCTACACACTTTTCACATAAATTCTCTGATCACAACCTTATGAACAGAAACTGGCCTACTTTTTTGCAGATAATAACATTAAAGCCTGAAAGTTTAAGTGATTCTTTTTTTCCAAAGTCACACAAGTAATCCGCTTGAGAAGAGGACAGATGGTATGCATTTGGTTAACTATGGAGTACCTCTCTCTTTCTCTCTGGGACAGAGAGATGGGTCAATGGTTCAGAGCACTGGCTACTGTTCCAAAGGATCCGAATTCAATTCCCAGCTCCCACAACCATTTGTAACTCCAGTTCCAGGGAACCCAAAGCCCTCTTCTGGTCTCTAAGGGCACAAACATACATTCAGGCAAAACACAAATATGTATTAAATAAAAAACCCCAAACAAACAAATCCTTCAAACCCAGCAGGGAGCAGCAGGAGCCAAGGCTAAAAGCTGACATATTTCTCCTTCCATCTGCTCACCCCCCACTCCCCAAACCCTGAGTCTCCTTCCTCCAGACACCCTCTTCGGAGCCTTCCTGGGACAGGGTCTCTTTATTATTAGGTAGCCCTGCCTTCCCTGAACTCAAAATGAAGCCCAGGCTGGCCTTAAACTCACAGACATTTGCCTGTCTCTGCTTCCCGAGTGCTGGGATTAAGTGAGCACACTCGGTACAGGATTTCTTTAATAAAGGGCTATGGATTTAGCTATGGAATATCCAGGGCCTAGCATGCACTCGGCCCTGTTTTTGATCCTTAGTGTTGTTAAGTTTTATGTAGAGAGGGGCAAACCAGTTGAACCTGTGGGGGTGAAGACCAAAGAGTCGGTAGTTGGAACGTTTGCTGTTTAAGTGGAGCGAGTAATTAAAGCTAAGACAGAGCTCTGTGTGGATTCTGGTGCAGCTTTGCAACACCAGGCCCACTGTGTTTAGAACGGGAGTGTCTCGGGTGGGAGAAATGACTCCCTCGAGGTACAGGTGAGGAAACAAGCCCAGGTGAGCTGGGGTGCATCGCTGTGCTATACATTTCTCAGGGAAACAGACGTGCGCCGGTGTCTAGCAGAGGCTTCTCACACGCCCGGCGAAGGTGGACTTCCCCAGGCATCTTTTTCTTGGACTAAACTCCATCTGGGTTATTTTGGTCTCTTGTTCCAGGTATGAGGGGTAAGCTGGCTCCAGCAAAGGAAGCCAGCTGGGGCTGACGTGGGACGTGTATGAGAGAAAATTCCAGAGAGCACCGAAAGGCTGAGCTTCTGGATGGTCCTGGAATCTCCTATCTGTATGAACTGGGTTGTTTGTGTTTTTTAGAGACAAACAAATAGGATGGGAGGTCTTGCAAGGTTCTTTCCTGTCCAAGGGCCCTGATTGAGTTAGGTAATAGAATCAAGGCAAATCCAAGCCCAGATGCTCCCCAAAACTGATGCTGAACCGGAAGGCAGCTCGGAAAGGAACGCTGCTTGTACTACTACTACCTCCCATGTCCTCCTGTGATTTGCAGGGACCAGCAACACGAGGGAGGGAAGGAGGGAGGCACCTGGTACAGCTTAGGGGACAGAAATACTAATGGACTTAGAACCTTCCGGAAGAGTGGAGAAAGAAGCCGACAGAATGAAGGCAGCCAGGCATTTTCAACCGAATTAAACTCTGACGCATTAGCATGTAGACGTGGAGGAGGGGGGAACAGAGGTTGACTTTAAACGACCAGTCTAAGGTTCTTAGGCACCTCATAGAAATACCACAGCCATGGTAACCGCACACCATGCTATATTGCGGGACAGGTCACTGCACAGCCCCTTAGATCTAACTGGAGGAGCGGGACCCCCAGTGAGAAGCCATTAACAAAGGCAAAAGACATGTAAAACAAACAAAATAATCATGACGGAGAGAGAAGGCCAGCCAGCCGCCAGCCTGGCTCTGCGCTCCCCCTCCTGCTGCAGGCACCTCCAGACAATGTAAACAGTTAATTTGTTCACCTGCAGGCTCTGGGCAAACAGAGGCCTGGTCACACCTGAGTGGATAACTCGATTACCCTGTAATGCCAGCACGGTAATGTACACAAATTCTATTACACGGCAAACCTTGCTTTCGGGCATTTGAAATACCAATCAGGCCAATGTCCACTCCCTTCTTTCCTTCCAATTTATTCTTGGTGTATTGGAGCTGCACCGAAATGGTAGTAGGGTGGTGTTGAGTTAGAGTGGCCGGAGAAGTCACGAGAACATCGTGACCTCCCCCAGCAGGACCTGCAAAGCTCTTAACCTTCCTGCAAAGGGCTAAGTCTGAATTTACTTCCTCCTCCCCCTCCAGATAGGGTTTCTCTTGTAATAGCCCTGGCTGTCCTGGAACTTGCTCTATAGACCAGGCTGGCCTCAAACTCATAGAGACCCACCTGTCTCTGCCTCTTGAGTCCTGGGATTAAAGGAATGCACCAATACCGCCTGGCTAGTTCTTGTTTAAAGGGACCTGATTCATTGGAATCACTAGAAGATACCTGGCGTCAGACTTGGTCTGTTCTTTTTTTTTTTTTATTTATATTATTTATTATGTATACAATATTCTGTCTGTGTATATGCCTGCAGGCCAGAAGAGGGCACCAGACCCCATTACAGATGGTTGTGAGCCACCATGTGGTTGCTGGGAATTGAACTCAGGACCTTTGGAAGAGCAGGCAATGCTCTTAACCTCTGAGCCATCTCTCCAGCCCCGGTCTGTTCCTTTTTTAATCACAATTTATATTTATTTATTGTGTATGCCAAGTGCCCCTGTGGAGGTCAGAGGACAACTTTCGCGAGTCAGTTCTCTCCTACCATATCTCTGGGATTGAACTCATGTCTCTGGCCTTGGTTGCAAGTGCCTTTACCCACTGAGCCATTTTGCCCACCCCTTGGTTTGTTCGAAAGGAGCTTAGAGCATATTGAAAGCACAGACAGATCCTTGGTGTAAGTAATAGCAGGCACAGAATAAAGAGAAACAGCAAATACAGTGCTAATAACACAACAGGTTTTCATTTTTCCTCCACGGAGTCCATATACTCAGCAATTAAAGAGCAAATTATGCCTACTTCAAAACCGTGTTCGTAGATACGGAGGGGGATACATCGAGTCCTTCATGATACATTCTCTGAGGCACAGAACATGTCGTCTTAGTCTGGTTATATATTATGTGTGGTCTTTTCTGTTTGCATTTTACAAGAATGGAGAGGAACAGTTCCCTTGAACTGTAGCCTACGACTCCAGAAGATTCTCCTCATTATGACAGACGGGCAACCATCCAATCTATCCCTTTAAAACAAATCCCTGTTGCTTTATGACCAACAACAGTATGCATTAGCTGTGTCTAGGGGTAAACTTATGCCTAAGGAAGAGAATAAAGTTAGCTGGGCTGTGTGGGATTGGATTCCGTAGGTCAGTCTTATCAGCGCTGGCTCAAACCAATTGAGCTAACTGGTTCTGACTCCTCCTCCCACAGGCAATTATATTATCATCTCATTTATCTATAAATGAAATAAGAAGGTAGTTTACCTAGCCAGAATGTTCTCAATAGTATTACAAAGTAATAAATTATGTACATAGTGTGACCTTTATGTACCATAAATCCTTGGAAAACATCAGATTTTGATTGCCATAATTTTAGTATTGTACCTACTTCAATATATATATATATATATATATTTGCTTTATTGTATTTTTACATGTGAAAAATGATTCCTGAGCCTGAATTTTTAAGTAAGAAATTTCCCTAACAATTAGACATTAAAGGGAATTTTGGTCAGAAGAGCCATACAGAGAGAGATGCTACAGCATGCGATGATTCTGATTATGGTAACTACACTAACAAGAGGGAAAACATGGACTTTGGACTCGGGTCCCACAGTCCGTGTCTTTACCTTGCTCAGAATGCGGATGAGGTCACCTCGTTGGAAGGACAGTTCATCTGGCTGGTCACCATGGCAATCCCATAGGCCCTGGTAATAATTGGCACAGTCCACTGATCAAAGAGAAGAAAAAAAAACAAAGATGAAAGGAGCCAGTTTGGTCACAAGTGGAAGCCAGGGTTTCGATATAGTTTCTGGGGAACTTAAGATTTGGGGGGGGGGCCCAGATGACACTCAATCTAAGCAAAGGACTACGGGAGGGGGAGATCACTAACTCACATAAAATATTTAGAGATCACCCCTAGTAGGAAATTCCACTCAGCAATATGGTAACAGATGTATTTATTAACAGAAGGAAATCAGGCACATAGTCTCTCAGTTAGTTTGCAAACTAGTGGAACAAAGATGTTTCCCAGTAGACTTTCTTGACCCGGGCTATCTAAATATCTGAGTATGTCTCTTGTTTTTATGCATTTGAAGGAACAGATCCTTCTGCCTAGCTACAAGGGAGGCTGAGTCAGCCAGCACTCTTCTGCATCATGGCTTCCATTCTGGCCTCCTCTGTTACACGGGAGCTTTATCCCAGGCCCTTCCCACCCAGGTACTTCATGAGGTCGTCACCGATAAATACTGCAACGAATAGCCCAGTCTTTAAGTGGAGCCATGGGGGTGTCTCATCCATTACAACTAAATTCTGGGTGGGCTGGCCCTTTTCCAGCATCTCATTTGTAGACCCTGAACATGTCTGCCAAGATTTATCTGCAAGCCCCCGGGGAACAGAAACCAAAGTGATCTGCATTAAAAATGAAAGCAACTGAAGACAACAAACCAAGCTTTAGAAAGCACTGGAGAGATTTACTGGGCTTCTCAGTGAGACTGGATGGCAACGATGCCACAGGACAGCCATCGATTCTTAACAATGAAGAATTCATATTGATCCGCTCCTACCCGGAAAGGTTAAACACTAGCGTACAAAGTGGGAGAATATCTGGGGATTTGAATGGCAGGAGGGCGAATGCCCACTGGACCACGGATACTCTGTGTGTCTCAGAATGTTTCCTACGAGAGAGCCGTGAGCCTGGCACCTGCCAGAGGTGAAATTTGATTGACGGGCTCCAGGAGTCCTGTGATGTAGTTAAAATCTCCGTGAGTTCTAGCTGGCACATGTCCGTAATCCCAGCACTTGGGAGGCTAGTGCAGGAGGATTATGAATTCCAAGTCAGTCTGGGGTTACATTCTGAGACTCTGTCTTGAAAAGCAAAATGGAAAAAATTTGTGTGACTTTTTGGGGACCGTGTTTCATCAGTTCCTACCTACTCTAAATTTGTTTGGACCCTCTCACGAGCTCGGATGGTTCTAAGGGCTGTTCATGATGGGAACAGATGGGGAACAAATGGTCAGTGGGGCACAGAGGACCTGGATGTACTCGCCCCCCCCCCAACAATTTGTCCCTAACTTATGAATAATTCAAATAACAGAGGCGCAGTGGAACGAATCCCTATATGTCTTTGTAAACGACTCTTATTAGGCATCTTAAAGTGCACAAAAACAGACGAGAGACTGACTCATTTAGGTGAGAGCAGATTGCAAACAGAAAGAAAAATGTCAAGCACAGAGACTGGGGCGTGTTTTCTTTACACAGAGAATTGTTTGTCTCCGCAGTAGACAACAGAGGGCAGCAAACAAAGTAACCGCCAAGCAAACCTCCTGCTATCGACTTAAGATGCTGGGGAGAAAAATACGTTGGGAGAAAAATGCTAACTGTTGAAAAGAGAAAGCATATATTTTGGGGGACATCGGTGCATGAAATGATAGAGAAATATCAACCTTGAAAAGCGATGGCAGTTTCCCCAGAGGATATGCGCTCATTCTCAGTTGTACGGGAGTATATAAATCACCCCGAGAGTTTGACTACGACTAGGATGAGAAGCCAATCGACATCAATATCCTTTGTGGATTTGTAGGTGGCAGAGAAATTTTTTTTAGAACAGATTTTAAAAAACCCAGTTTAGCTATGTATGAATGGTAGGGGAAGACGTACAGAGCTTTCATGGCATTTTCTGGCCCAGTGCATAGACACTTTGAGTTTCTGCTCCCTCAGTGTGCTTGGGTATGAGACAGCTCCTAAGATACCTTTTGGGTATGTTTGAGATTCTTATCAAGATTTGATAGTGGTGCAAGAGAGTACCTGGGGAATGACCTAAACTACAAGCCCAGTAAAAGGCAGGTACACTGGTTCATACCTATAATCCCAGAAATCAGAAGGCTGAGGCAGGAGGATGACTTCGAGTGTGAGGCCAGTCTGGGCGAAAAGGTGAGTTCAAGACTAGCCTGGGCTATATAGTGAGAGAGATTCTGTCTCAAAATACAGGGAGCTGGAACTCAGGGAGATAGAGAGACAGATTCAATCAACTATAGAACGAGACTTCTAAGACTCAAAGAGTATAGAATGACCTTTGATGTCCAGGAACCCAGGGCACAGCCTAGCCCAAGATGAAGGACAATGACACACAGCTCTGAAAAGTTAGTCAGAACGACCAGGCTAAAACCGGGGAACATATTCAACCTGCTTTCTAGTCAAAGGTATGCTGGTATTAAGGAGATCAATGGGGGAGTCATTCTTCAGCTGGATAAGGTTGGACCCCGTATTGCAAGATCCTTGTTTAACTTGCATGATTCATATTAATACAGTTGTGGACAGGCTACTTCATGAACTCATTCCTTGGCATCCATCAGGTCTGCACACAGCACTTAACTAAATGCCAGGGACTGTGGTACACACTGGGAATTCCTCAGTAGTCCCTGCTCTCAAGGCTACCCTCTAGTGGGGGAGGCGCTGTGGACCAGAGTCCTGAAGAGGTGGAGGATGCTCTGCCTAAGAGGAAACTTAGTGGAGTCTGAGGGATCCCGGAAGGCTCCTTGGGAGCTCCAGCTGTCTACAAAATCCTGATCTACCCCGTGTCACCAAAACACCTTGACGTTGGGAGGAGGTGGGGCTGAGCAAGATTTCCTTCCTGAAGCTTGGCCCACGGAGGGCCTGCCGGTCTGCAAGTCCACAGGGTGGGTTTACTCTGCCCTGCACCAGGCTGGCTGGTCCTCAGAGGAGAATGAGAGCAGAGACAGGTTTCTAGAGTGACAGGAGTTAGGAGCCTGACAGCAAGGCTCGCCTCTGTGCACTGGCTTCGGCTCAGCTACGTTCCCACCACGCTGGCAACAGCCTGAGTCAGAAACAGTGCAATCTCCTGACCAGTTAATTAATTCAGAACATCCCCATTCTCATTTTGAGGACATTATTCCATCTAATTATTTTTTTTCCAGTCTGTCCATTTGGAATGAAAAACAAAAGAATAAAGCTTAATGCCAGCATTTCTCAATGTCTCTCAAAAAAAAAAAAAAAAAAAGACATAACTCTGCACTAAATAAAGCCTGGTAATTCAAAAGCAAAAGCTCTAATATATTCAGCATAAAACAGACAGAGGACCTAGAGCAATAATGACAACACTAATAACTAAAACAGTTATAACAATTAACAACAATTACAATGATAGGGAAGCTAATGGCTATGATCACTGCATTTAAATTGCTAGCCGAGCTGAGAAGGAGTTTTCTAGAGAAAATGGGGGTGGGGCTGGGAGTGTCTTACTCTTTCTAATCCCTTGTAGGGGAGGCTAAGCCTCAAGCGAGCAGAGTATCACAAAGAGCTCAAATAGAATTGTTTTTCTCGTTTCCAGGTGTTCTTACAAATCATTTATCACTCCACACCGGGCTTTTGTGACCGGTGATGGGCATTTCTCCTCTGATGGAGTCTAGGCTGGTGCTCCTGGTGACAGAGTCAACGGAAGCACCGAGGCAAAGGACCAGGACACCTGTCTAGTTTTCCTTGTCTTCAGGAACAACAGAAGCTGTCTGTCCTCCCTGAGTTTAGCTGTTAGGACACTGAGTTACTTCAGAGTTTGAGCTGAGATGGGGGAAAGAGGCTAAAGGTGGCTCAGGGTGCTGTTTACATTTTCTTGATGAATGCAACGTGGCAGCGAGGTCTGGCATTAGGCACAGCTGTTTAAACTAGGAACGGCAAAGCCAAAAGCTTGAAAACAAACCTAGGAGAGTAGGGCCCAGTGAGAGCTGGGCCAAAAACTCTGTAAACCGTGTCTTGAAATGCTCTGGTCTCAGCCAAGCCAGGAGGGCCACCATCTTTAGCACATTCAAAGCAGACACCCACTGCTGCTCTAGGAACAGTTTCGGAAGGCTGGAAAAACTCACCAGGAGACACTCACTATGCCCTTAGTTTTGCAAGTGTGACTGATGTACGGGGAACAACCAAAGGTCCTAGTTCCCACCTCATCTGTTCCTTTAATCGGGTCAAAACTTTAGCTGGGCGATGCTCAACCACGGTTGGTTTTGGAAATCTGAAAGGTAAGAGCTGCAGGAGCCTGTGGACCCTTCCTTTTCTTTGGTGTAAGAGTTCTCTGTCGGCGGGCACCACAGTGGGCCTTCAGAGGGTCTCCAGGATGGAAAAGTCATGAATAATCACTTTTCTGCTCTTCTGAGATGACTGGGTGCTTCTAAGACTATGCCTGGTGTACCCACAGTTGTTGAGAAATAGAGACAGACACAGAGACAGAGACAGACACAAAGAGAGAAGCAGATAGACAGAGACAGAAGAAACAGAGAGAGAGACAGGGAGACAGAGAGAGACACACAGAGAGGAGAGCCCATTGCAAAGTCTTCTTTGGGCAAGGATTTGATATCTCTAAGAGTGACCTGTGTCTCCACAGCATGGCACAGCCAAGCAAAGGAAATTTTTATACAAACAGGCCAGAGTGAGTCTTGATTTGGGCTACTCAGAAGATACCCTGTCACAGCAAGGCAGGGAAATATGATCTCGCCACTAAAGACCCTTAGCGTCAGATCCACTATGGGACTGCCAGGCTGGAATTGAGAGAAAATCGGAGGTGTTGAAGAGTCACTCAGTAACCCTGTTACTAACACTCATGCTGGAGAGCGAGCTCTTTATAGATTGGGCAATCAATACTACAAGGCCATGATAGATTTTCCAGGTAACGGAATAAAATGAAAGAAATTGCATCTTACAGGGTCATTAACACTCAGTCAGGAGACACTGAATTCCTGTCCTCCCTCCCTCTTCGGATAAGATCTAGAGTTGGGCTTTAAAAAACGTTAGCAGTTCTGTCAGAGGAAGCAGGGCATCAAGCAACAGGGTCTGTGGGGTAGAAGAGAAAAGTCCTCAGATGCCGGATGCCCCAGCCCCTGGGGGGAAAGGCAGGAGAACAGGCCAGTTTGCTTAAAGCCTTTCCCTCCCAGATACCTGAGAAAGACTAAAAGAAGCAAACGTGTACAGCTGGTCTATGACCTATCTAGGAATTGACTCTGTCCCGCCTTTAATGCCTTCACGGAGGCTGCTGGCCCTTCCCCCAGATCTCCATATTTTGTTGCTATAAAACTAAAAGATGACATTGGGAAGTTACATATGTGTTGCAGGTTCTACAGCTTCTTCGGAGAGAAGGCACTGTATAAATTCAATAAATAAATAAGTAAACACAAATAATAAAAATCCCTGCCTCGGATTCTGCAGAGAGAGCGAAAAGTCTTCCTGTTTTTAATTGCCAAGTCACCAATCATTATAACTGGTGGGAAGTACAAGCCGCGGAAACATATTTAGAGCTGAGCCTTATGTTAACGACACCTCTTTGGGAGGCAGAAAGTATGGGGAACAAAAGACCTCTTTAAAAAAATTCCTACTTGAATTATACCTGTTGGGATAGTTAAAAGATAAATCTCCTCTCACCTCCCAGATAAAACCTAAGAAGAGAGAGAGAGAGAGAGAGAGAGAGAGAGAGAGAGAGAGAGAGAGAGAGAGAGCGCATACACAAGGAGAAAATGAGAGGAGGGAGGAGTGTGGGAGGGAATGGTAGACATTTTCAGGAGACTGATACTTCCTGACTGGAGTTAATACAGTGTTGGCCATAGGAAGCTTCCAGCTATCCCACCCAAGACGTTCATCTAGGGTGTATCTTCCTACACTGGTTGGTGATGGAAATTGGTTGAGAGAAACCCTATTTGGGACCAGCTTGGTCAGAATGGATTTTCTGTTAGAATTCCATATAGCAAGTAGAAAATGACAGAAATTAGGTTTCAGGGCTGGAGAGATAGATAGCTCAGTCGTTAGGGCTAAGGATCACAACCAAACTTCAGAAATTAGGTCTCAGAGGACTCCCTAATCTCCACACGCTTTCGCCTCTGCTTCGGTAGCACAACCCATGATGCCACTGACTGGCGCCCCCTTCCCTGAGAGAAGGTGGGCCTGTGAACCGGAGGCCTTCACTAAACCTTGCATAGTCACTTCCTGCAGGGGTGGGGAAGACGACACAGTGGGGGGAAAGCACGTGTCCAGCAAGCAGGAATATGTAGGTTTTAATCCCCAGAGTCCAAGATGGGAGACAAGATTCTTTAGCCATGGTCATGGGTCAGCAGGCCAGGCAACCAGTGTAGTGGTAAAATAACAAAGGTTTCCTGCCCGTGTCAAACAAGGTGGAGGGTCAGGCCCAAGACCAACACCGGAAGTTGTCCTCTGACTTACACACGCTCACGCACACATGCACGCACGCACGCACGCACACACACGAATTCATTTCCCGCAAAGATGGAAAAGGGAAAAGAGACTCTGCTAAATGACTATGAATGAGAAGGAGGGGAGTCAGGAGAAAAATGAGAAACCAAGAAACCAAGCGGAGGGAACCGGAAAAGAACTCCCAAGCTTAACATTTTCATAGATCCTACGAGGGTAGGAAATCTGCTGGTCTCCAAATCACTTCTGAATCCACTTCTGCTGATGGAATGTCCTTGAGGCGGCGCCCAAACAACGGGCACCATTCCCTCACTGACAGTGAAGGAGTAAGTCCTCAGTCCACTTAGGAGACTGCCAGGGCGTCTGACCTTGGGAGGCACGGGCTCCCTAACAGCCTGGGGCATGGCTAACAGGCTGCGATGAATAAGATGTAATTTTGTATTCAACAAACCTGTTACATATTCATCTTCAAATGTGCCTGGAATCAAACCAGGCCATCTGAAGTCAGCATCCCCCCAGTCGCTCTATCCCTCACCCTGGCTTCACTTTTCAGATCGGACACATTTCCATTCCCCTCTGAGCTCGCAATCTCCGGGCCTCTCAGGGAGGAGACATTTCCATCCTTCCCATTCTCAATCCTCTAATCTCTTAGAGATGAGGCAATTCTATTTCCACTGCACTGATTTAAGAAATACTGATAGGAAAAAATAAATATCTGGTTTGGCTTCCCACCTTCTGAAGACAAATCTCGGCTGTGCTAGGACATCGATTAAAGTGATTGGGTGTCTGCTTTTAAAGTTAAGGCACTCTTCTAGCCAGTCAGTCAATTTTGGCTGTTGGGGTCATGTACCAGGAACCTATTCATTAGAGAGTCCAGTAACGGTAGTGCTTTCTCAAGCCAGAAGCCCCATTGTTCCACCCTGGGCTGTGCAGCCGTGTCTCATACCTCGCCATCCATGAGTGCCGCTGGCATCCTCTTCTAAATCATGGCCTTCATCTGAGGGGACAAATGATCAGTATTAGCCATCAGTGTGGGGGTTTGGTCTTCACGCTCTTCCTTTTGAGGGGTGACCCTTTCTCTGAGTTCACTGACCTCCTCCCCTTTCTTGTGTTTTAAAGCAGGGGCTTGCTATGGAGCCCAGGCTAGCTTTGAACTCATGATCTCCCTACCTGAGCCTCTGTCTCAAGAGCTGGGATTACCAGCATGTGCTATCATGTCTACTTAGGGAACTCTCTCCTTTAAAGAAAGTCTCATTAACATGTTTTCTTCTTCTTTCCCCTCCCCAGTCATCCCTCACCTTCAGATCGGCCATCTTCTCTTTCCCTTTCTATTCATTATTCATTTCCGAACTTTCTGAAGTACGAAGCTGCACTAGGAACAGGGGGCACACAACAGACAAGCAGGCCAGAGTTCCTGCCTTGATGGGGGCTTCCAACCCATCGAATCACCAAGGGGCTTATCACTTAACCCAGTTCTTTTCCTCAGCCCTCATTTCTTCTTTCTTTGTGGAATTCTTCCTTGTATTTATTATCTGTATGATGCAGACACATTCTTTGGTTTTAGTCATTCCAGAGTTAGGGTGAGAGAGAGAGAGAGAGAGAGGAGAGAGAGGGAAGGGAGGAAGGAAGAGAGGGAGAGGGAATGGAGGGAAGAAGAGAGAGAGGAGGGAGAGGGAGAGGGAAGGAAGGAAGGGAGTGAGGGAGGAAGGGAAGGAGGGAGGAAGAGAGAGAGATTGGTAGTGAGTTTTAAGCCTTTTGTGATTAATTAGTCCTTAACACATCCATTTTTGTTCAGCTGTATCGGAGGCTGGTCATGTACATGGTTTTATGTTCCCAGTACTCGAGGCCTGTAGTTATCTTTTTACTGTTTTATTTAGCCTGCCTTGTTCATTAGAGTATAGGCTCCTGAGGGCAGATGGAATGGTCTTTTAATTAATTGCTGTGGATTCACAATGGGTTCTAAGTCAATGCTGGTGTCTAACTCCAGTCAAGTGTTTATATGGCCAAAGTCACAATGTGATTGGCCCAAGTTTCTTACCCTCATTAACCTGTTTCATCTCAAGCTTCATTCTACTTGATATAATAGGAGCCGGGCCTTTATTAAGAAAGTATGTGTATTAGAGTAACATTTAATAACCCTATTTTATAATATAGAGTTTTAATGTATATATATACACATATATATGAGGTAGAAATAGGCTCACTATTCTTTTCACCAACTCTTTCCTTTTCTCCTTTTCTCTTACACAGTCACACAGACAGACAGACAGACAGACACATGCACTTGCCCCACATCCTGTGGAAAAGGAACACTTTGAGGAAATATTTTCAAGAAATGTTTTATTATTTTATACATATATTTCACCTGTATATATGTATGTGTAAAACACGTGTGCCTGGTGCCCATAGAAGAGGACATTGGATTCCCTAGGACAGGAGTGACAGACAGTTGTGAGCAGCCATATGGGTTGTGGGAACTGAACCCTGGTCCTTTGGAAAAGCAACCAGTGCTCTTAAATGCTGAGCCATCTCCCCAGCCCTTTGAAGGTCCAGCAGTGTGGACGTCCATGATGCCCATCTGTAGTGCTTCCCAAATCGACCCCGAGGTACAAAGATGTAAGGTAACGGAGGAATGAAATCAAACACAGGAAACAGGGCGTGTAGAGATAAATCATACTGAGCACGATTCTTTTCACACAGCCCTCTCCACTGTCCTCTTCCTCCCTTCCTCCATCCGCTGTGATGTGTTTCCTTTCTGCCGCGGGGCCAGTTTCACAGGGCTGACCATATCAGAGGGTGAGTTGGTGCATCCTCCTTGTAGAGATGCCCAACGATTTGGACAGCGAGCAGCTCTTTTCCTGGTATCAAACAACTCAATCACGGGGCCCAATAATGTGCTGCGCTTAAGCACTTTTGCAGAGAGCGTTTATTCTACCTCTGCTGTCCGTGCACAGCTGTCTCTTCCTCCCCATTCTAATCAATGTAAATTGGGTCAGATCTCCGCTGTGAATTACAAATTGGATCCGAAGTTGGAGGGTCACCATGCCTGCTACTCCACCTCCTTCCCGCCGCCATTAGATGGGAAGCTACACCAAAGATCTTTTCTAAATAAATCAGACTTTATTGTAAAACTCGGCCACTGACGAGACATAACCTCATTAGCATTGATTTTAAAATAAATTATTGAAAGTGGCCTGCCTGCTCTTTGCATTTGTAAAAAAGCAGAATGTAAATGTATTTGCAATGATAAAAATGAAAACTAAAACTTGAATCCTTTATCCTTTCAGGCGCTTAGTCTAGTCATGGTACAAAAAAATAAAAAAATAAAGTATAAAGTAAAAAAAAGGACAACTTGAAGGACTCTGCTTACTTCACTGCCAGATCCCAGAGCAGATCCTCTGGTTTCCATTGCACCTTTGGAGTCACCTAGAAAGGAAGAATATGCTGACCATCCAGCGTGTGCACTATTTGCCACCATTACTGGGCCCTATGGTGATGGATGTGAACAGCAAACCCTGGCCCCACTTCTACCTGCTTTGTCCGCTGGCCCCCACTTCTGTCCTACCTGCCTTGTCCGCTGGCCCCCACTTCTGTCCTACCTGCCTTGTCCGCTGGCCCCCACTTCTGTCCTGCCTGCCTTGTCCGCTGGCCCCCACTTCTGTCCTGCCTGCCTTGTCCGCTGGCCCCCACTTCTGTTCTACCTGCCTTGTCCGCTGGCCCCCACTTCTGTTCTACCTGCCTTGTCCGCTGGCCCCCACTTCTGTTCTACCTGCCTTGTCCGCTGGCCCCCACTTCTGTCCTACCTGCCTTGTTCTCTGTGGCTGACAGTGGCCTCCAGTTAAGAAGCCTGTTACCAATGGGCCTGAGGCTGTGTCCCAGGCATCTCCGGAGGACTTGAGGATGGGGTCTCATCACACAGTGGAGGAAGCCCCTTCTATAGTTTGGCTATGAAGAACACAGCACTTGGTTCCTTCTTAGCTTAAATTGCTGTATACAATTGATCGACCATGGACCCTTCTGTGAAATCAAACCAACATCTCTCGAGGTTCAAAGTCAAGACAACAATAACGTAACTGGGACTTGTAAAAAAAGGCTTTTTGCGAAAAAGAAGAAACTAAATTTAGGGAGTTAAATTTCTTATTTTTGTTATTCTGTACAGGGGAGGCTTTATTATTATTTATTGTTCTTTTTCGTGTGTGAGTGTGTGTATACACATGTGCTCACAGGCATCAGGATGTACGTGTGGAGGTCACAGGATAACTGGAGAGTTACTTCTCCCCTTCCACCACGAGGGGCATATGGCTTGGAGACCAGCCTTTTTACCTACTGAGGCATCTTGTTGGCCTGAGATTTTCCTTTTAAAAGACCATTTTGAATATATATATATTTTAAGTTAAAGAGCTCATTGGACTTTTTTATAAGAATATTATTAGGCATTTTAGCCTTACATCTATGGAAATACATCTTCATTTAAGAGAGAATTAAAATTTATGTGCTAGCTCAACTTTAAACAGTAATAGATTATAATGGTTCTTGCTCCTAACAGGGCATGTGGGACCCCAATCTTACACAGGCTTTAAACAAATTAACCTCTGAAGATTACTGCCCACTTATTACATTAAATGCTCTACTTGATTCCCAAATATCTCATCTCAATTGGGAAAACAGTTGAAGAAGATCCTGTTAACTGTGTGAACATGGGAGGGAACCGTGGGGCATCACAAATGAGCACCAGTATCTGGAGAGTCGATTTCAATCAACATTCTTGGCACAGTGTCAGGGACACTAATGAGAGGCTGAGAGGAACAGGACACCGACCCACCTAGGAGGGACAGAGAGGCGCTAGCTGCCCCTGACAGATGACTCCTTTCTGAAGTGTGGCTCTGGCACCCCCTTTCTGAACTGTGGCTCTGGCACCCCCTTTATAAACTGTGGCTCTGACACCCCCTTTCTGAAGTGTGGCTCTGGCACCCCCTTTCTGAAGTGTGGCTCTGGCACCCCCTTTATAAACTGTGACTCTGGCACCCCCTTTATAAACTGTGACTCTGGCACCCCTTTCTGAAGTGTGGCTCTGGCACCCCCACCCCCAACATTGACAAAACTGATACCAGAAAGAACAACCGATGGAAACAAATAGGAAAAAAATGGTCACATCAGAAAGAGGGAAAAGCATTTTCCCCAAACAAAAAGTGACAGCTTCAAAAAAAATGGCGAATGTATTAATGGGCAGCCAGATGTCAAGGTGCTGTGGTGACAGCTGCAAGAGAAATACAGGGAGACTTGATGTGCAGAGGGAACATCCAGAAAAACAGAAATAAACCGTTCCCTGGCACGCCTAGACAAGCTACAGACCCCTGCGTGTTTGAGCAGCTCTCCAGACAGCCATAGAACACAGGAGCAAGAGGCTAAGAACACACTGATTCTCTCTGTGTGCTGGGCAATCTCAACGGTTCCCTCTCAACACGTCCATCCTAGCTCCATGGTACGGTCGACGCAGAAGATATTAAACTCCATTTGTGCTAATAGCAACACTTGGAAGACATAGGATTTAATTCCACAAATAACCTGGGGAGAAGGACATGAATACCAATCAGCACGACTGGAGACAGAGCTTAACTTCAGCGGCGTCTGAGAAGATGTCACGTCTGAGGACGTCACGTCTGAGGCCACATGTGAGCAGAGATTAGGGGGACAGCCATGGTTCCAGCTGGTGCTGGCCCAGCAGCGCCCCATGCTCTTGCTCAGATACACAGACAGTCAGATAGACAGACAGACAGACAGACAGACAGAGCCGGGATGAGGAAGACAAGAGGCCAGGAGGCTAGAAGAAGGCCGGGGATGGCACGGATTCTTTTTCTACATTTTGTATTTTGGACCTGGGTTTGTTTTGTATTTTTATTTCTTTCGGTTTCTGTCACCATTCCTTTTCCCTGTGTGCCCGGACAATTTATACAGGGGAAAGATAATCCCACAGAATGTTGTTTCCATTTGACTCTAATTAAAAAAAAAACCCTGGTTATATGCTTTATTATAAAGCAATCTGGTTTCTGGGTCTATAACAACCCTCTGGGGCTGTGTGGGTAGCTTCAGAATATGCACAGACATTTCCAGAAAGGCCTCTTTATCTCTTTCTGTTTGTTTTTTTTTTTTTTTTTTTTTGGGAATCTCTAGAGAACACAGCTGGATCCTGCTGCCATTATAGCTACTACAAGGCCCTAGTTACAGCTCTCCTATGGTCTCAGATGCCTTACTGGCTTCTAGCCTTGAGGCCCCAGACTATTCAGGACCTGATAGAAGATGTCCTTATATGGAATCTTAAATTGTGGATCTGGGTCTGTGCTGGTCTGAAGAATAACTTCAAGGAAGATGAGAAAAGGTTTAGGAAAACCTGTTTTTTAAAAAAGCTTTATTTTGGGTGGTGGTGGGTCATGCATGCCTTTAATCCCATTACTTGGTAGGCAGAGGCAGGCAGATTTCAGTGAGTTTGAGGTCAGCCTGGTCTACCAAGTGAGTTCAAGGACAGCCAGGACTGTTACACAGAGAAACCCTGTCTTGGAAAAAACCACCCCCTAAAAAGACTCATTTTAACATTTATTTATTAGTGTGTGCGTGTGGGTGTGTGAGCGTGCACACATGCCTATCAAGCATATGCAGGTTCCTATGGAGAAATCCTCTGAGTTGGAGTTGTGAGCTGTCCAATGTGAATATTGGGAACTAAACCCAAGTCCTCTGGAAGAGCGGCAGGTGTTCTGAACCACTGAGCCATCTCTCCAGCCCCAGAGCCTCCTATTTTAATGTCTGACTTTCATACTCTTGGTCATTCTCTGCAGTTTAATCTACTACAAATGAAACCTTAAAACTCAAGGGCCCCCACATGCTCAACAGGAATGTTCAGAAATCCCAGGGGATACCAATTTTGAAACCATATATTCCAGGACTAAATTTTTTTTTGTGGTCTGGCCAACAACTTTGAGTGTTTTGGCTTCCTCTCCTGGGGACAAGAGTGCTAGCCATGTAGCAAATGCCAATTAGCTCATGATTAATGCCATGCTGTGCATTTAATTTGATGATCCGGGCATTATTTTGGTTAGAAATTGTTTTTTATTGACTTGGTATATGGTGTATATTCTTTTCGCTCGTCTCAAAGCCCATTTAAATCACACTTGGGAAGGGAAGCCTCACCCACGAGCCTTTCCTCGTAGGCACAGGGGGGACTTGCAGACTTGCTTGCATAGGGCCCTCCCCAAAGAGCAGCGCCACAGACTTGCCAACACTAAAAGTCCTTCACAAAGCATGTTCAGCTGTTATAATGAAACGAATGCTAGGGATCTGAGCCCTTTGACCACGGATGTGCTACGCGCTGCTGCTGGCTGCCCCTCCACCCAGCACCTGGCCTCTTGGTAGGGGGAAATAAAAAGGGGAGGCTGAGCAGAAGGTGCTCTCCACATCCCATCTGTTCAGAATCTTCAGGTTCACATATGCTTCGTATACATAGCTGCAAATGCCTAACCGGACTGTGCATTCGGGTCTGGCTGCTAAGGGGGCGACCCGTGCATCCCCTGACTTTCGGAGGCAGTAATATTCCCCATCAGACACCACCACCATCATTTGTCGAGTTCTTGCCGTGTGCCAGTGCTCTGGGTTAAGTGCACACACATGATCTCCAGGCTCCGCCCCTCCAAATCCCTCTAGGATGCTGCATCGCTTTCCCCATATGGACAGGGGAGGCAGGGAACTTGCTCAGGTTCTCACAGCTAGCAGGTGCCAGGGCAGATCCACTCTGATTTACAGCTGGCGTTGTGCCTGTCCTGCCTAGCTGTTCCCCACATGCTGTTTTTCAGTAGGTGGTGGCTGGTGATACGGGTGGGGAGATGCTACTGGGCCACTCACGGTCCTTCTCAGCTTCCCTAGGACTCTGGTATGGTATATGCCAAACTGGCACAGCAACTTCAGAAGCAACAATAGTGGAGTGCTAGAAAGCTTGGACGATCGAGACACGTGGCTGGAATCACCACGGGAGAATTAAACGTCTCTGTACCTCTCACCACGCTGTCTGTAAAAACTCTGGTGGAGAGTGGCTTTTTTAAAAATTATTTTTATTAATGTTTATTGGAAGCACAGGCAAGGTAGCTGCTGTCCCTCTAACCTGCAGCAAGAGATCCTGGCTTTTCTATAGTGTGGCTCCCTCACTTTCTGTGCAGAGTTCTGTGCACAGGGTTAGTGGCTGTTTGAGGGTGTTGACTAACCTCCCTGCCCTTGGGTCCTTTCCTTATAGAAGCGGCAGGAGGTGTGGAGGAACTCTCCAGATCCCAGTAGAGGGTAGGAGTTCAGGAGGCAGATAGACTTGTACCACTGAGAAGCCAGTGATACATTCCTTGTCCCTGACCCAGAATAAGGGGATGGCTTCAAACCCATCCTGTTTTCTGAGGCCTCTTTGCCTTTGCTCTCCATCCCTAAGCATTAGCTTCACCCTGGCTTCTTTGGGCCCCCGCACACCTCTCCTTTGCACCCCAGAAGGCAGATTGGTTCAGGGTGATGTTCCCAGAGCACTCTGCCACAGCTGGAACCAAAGGCGGATCCTTGCCTGGCTCCTTCCCAGAACCTGGGCAGGAGTGAGCCTAATGTAAGCTCACTGGGAAGTTTCTGGCCAAGTTGGGGAGTGTGTCTCCTTCTAGGGAGAGTGGTGAATTAGAGCTGTTTCTGCACCCTGCTGTTGCAACGGCACAGGCTGCGAAAGGGAAGATTCTCAGAGGAGCTGTGTTTTAATGTAGCAATTTGATTCAATTTTCCACTCTATAAAATTACCCATCACTGCTCGTTGCTTTCCAACAGACACCTTCACTCTTAATTTAACAATCCTATCGAATTCTGCCAGGGAAATTGGAAAAATTTATCACCTGTGAAATTTTATTTTCCTTTGGTTGTATCTGTTTTTGTAAAACTTCATTAACGACGAAGACTTGCTGAGGAAATTATCACTTTTTTTTTTAACTTCAGACACAAGAAATGGCTCGACCTCAACCAAGATATCATTTGCATAATAAAACACAACAAAAAGGGCCGGGGAAGCAGAGACTGGCAGAGGTTGCAGGAGCAAGGGGAAGGAGTGGACTCTCCTTGCTGGGGTTGTGTGGACACAGCCTTGACTCGGGGCCCGTGATGTGGCTTCCCTTGCAGGCAAGAGACAGATAGGGAACGCCTACTAAAGAGGGTTGGACCCTCTTCTTAGGGAGCCTTGAAACGCAATTATTTTCTGATGATGTTTTCATGAGGGGCTCTGTCTTCAGAGGCCCAAGTGTTAGATTCACCTTAGTTCCTAGGTTCATCTGGGATGCAGGTTTAAATTGCTATAAATTTTGGCTTAATTTGAATTCCTTAGCAGCGCGCACTAAACTCCTGGCAAGTTTCCATAGGAGCGCTTTCTGAATGGACTTGAAGATTCAGCTTCCCCATTGTCTAAGTACCTCACAATTAAAAGGCTCAGGCTCTGGTTTTGCTGTCTGACCCCTACTGTGCTCTGCACTGTTCACCAGCTGCTGGAGCCCCCCAGAAGTGGCTCCGTGGAGGCAGTGATGACTGTGCGCTTTCTGAGGCGCTAGCGAGCCTGCCTACCCGTGGAGAGGGCGTTCTATCGGAGTTCTACTGTATCACTAAAATGGTTTGTTGGCATTTGTATAATTCCGACTCTGGAAAGATGAGGTACCTTTGAGACAACTTCCTGTCATTCTTGTGAGTCTACAGAGAATATGTGAGAACTAGAGAGTTGTGAGAACTCACTCCCAAACCAAGGATACCCAGAGGGACTGTTCTCTGGCCTTTAATCTTAGTGGCACAGAGGAAAGACAGCTTGGTGGACTTCATCTTGCTCCCAGAGCAAGGCTGAACCACTGTACTGGAGTCATGAACGTCCTACGCTGTCCCGGTCAGAGAATGTTTAGATTAGGATTCCTTTGGGGGAGTGCTTCATTCTTTCACCAGGTCAAGAGTTTCTGAAAGCAGGGGGAAGTCGGTCATTAGAAGATGAACTGTTTTACCTGGTAGGACTTCATAAATGTCCTCTTCTTCCTCTGTAGGCTCAGGCAGGGGCACGGCCCTGCACCGGGAACCAGACTTTGGGGAGTCAAAACCATCAATGTCATCGTACGTTTCTTCCTCTTCCTTCTCCTCTTCCTCCTCTTCTTCCTCCTCCTCTTCACAGGGAATGGTTGAGGAACTCAGATCTGCCAGGGCAAAGAAAAGAATGAGTGAAGGTAGAAAAAAAAAAAGAAAGAGGCTGGAAAAAAAGGTGGGTGAAGAAGGAGGAGGGTAAGAATAAAGCACGTCAGGGGAGAATGAAACCCTGGGTTAAGTGCCCTTATTTCTAATGTAGGCCTCGGTGCCAGGAATCTACGGAAAAGGCCAGCCCGGCACCCCATTAGGTTTAAACCATCAACATAAATCCTCTCCCGCAATAAAACTTGGTCAGAATGAAGCAGCCCTGAAAAGTATGGGTGCGTGAGCGAAAACACAAGGTGAAGCAGAGAAGATAGGCCCAACGGGGCACTGCCAGGGTGCCATGCTCTGCTCACCAAGCAGAAAACCAGATGGGTGAGTGATGGCCCCGGGTCCTCTAAGGCGACAGAGCCAGGACATCTAAGGTGGAGTCTGAGCTCTCGGAAGCTCATCTCCCAATGATCTCGTTGCAGAATTTAGACAAGTTTGTTTGTGGAGAGGTGACAAACATGGGGGGGGGGAAGCAGCAGAAGAAAAGAAAAGGGGTGCGGAGAAACGCAACCGTCATGCAACCAAATGGACCGGCTAAACGGCACAGTTTCCGTGTCCTTTTATGGCCTGGCTGACCTTAAAGGGGGTCACTGAGTAGAGGATGTTCAGCCATTACAGCAGCGCCAGGGCAGGGAGGAAGATTGGTTTCAATTCTGGTGGGGGGGGGGAGGGAAGCTCATTCTCTGCCTTGGAAACCCCCACTGAAGGGCCTCTGCAGGACCCCGTGAGTACGCTGAGTGTACCCTGGGGAAGGGAAGGGTGGAGAGACTCGAACAGTTCATTTCAAAATACAATAAAACTGTTTGGCTTGATTAGGCTTTTAATAACGATTTCCCAACACATTTCATTGGAATGCTGGCGACTTCATACGCGGGAAGGATCAAAGGCGCATTTGCGGCTTCAACCATATGTTATTATTTGGTTTGTTTTAAAATAAAATTGGAATGAATAATTTCTTCAATGTGAGATTCTGAAAGTACCACAGGGTACAGCTCAATAAAGCTGCATTGAGTTTTATGGAGGTTTACACACTTAGGGGTATATTACACGCATAAATCCTAGGCACCTAGACGAGAGTGTGCCCTGTAGCCTCACCATCAACGCCCGTGTTTGCCTAGTTCCGGTCTATTATACGCCATGCTGTCGGGGCACGCCGCGGTTTGTTTTTGTGCTAGCGGAGGTCTCAGTGAGCGAAAGAGGCAATTCTTGTAATTAAGGCTCCGGTGCTTCCTTCTTTTGGTCCACAATAAAATCTTATGGCAGAATAATAAACCGCGATAAGAAAGCTTCTGATTTGGGGTGGCTGTGCTCCTCTCTGTGTTGTGGGCCATGCACAAGGTTGGTGTTTTTATGGTTTGCTGAGACAGGGTCCTGCTGCGATGGTCTATGAGGGTCCTCTTAGGCCACTCCCAGGAAAGGCTTCCTGGGCCACTGTGGCTGCTGCGCCAGGCCTGCAGGCTGGCCAGTAGAGGGTACTCTAAGAACAGCCATTTAACCTCTTCAGGTGGGACTTGCCATCCCAAGGCAAGGAACATTTTACTGTGGCTTGGGGAACAGCAATTTATTTTTAATGTCCAGCGTCCCTGATGACCACCAAGATGAGTCTAGAACTCTACTAAACAAAAACAAAAAACAAAAAAAAAAAAAAAAAAAGAGGAGGAGGAGGAGGTGGAAGGTTCTGGATCTCAACTAGATGATGGCTATTATGATTTACCCTTCCAGAATAAAAAGGGCTGGCAGCCAGTGACTTAGGCTAAGCTGGCTTTCAGAACCTTTCCCAAATGAGGACTTGTAAACTATGACGTCAGAGGCATCTCCAGATGACTGCCTCGCCTTCTCATCCATATTTGCTCTTATAAATAAGGGCAATGTGGGCTGGGCGAGACTAGAGGGTCAGGAAAATCACATACGGAAACCTTTAGATTAAACTTTCAAAACGTAACTTCGACTGCAAATCTACTGGCGTAGCATACATACTTGAAATGGTGGCTCTTACCTTTTAGCAAGAAACTTATTTGATCCACCCAGTCTCTGGCTTCAGCTGGATTAAGAGCTGTAAACTGGAGAAAAGTAAGGGGATTAATTTAATCGTCACCTTCACTAGAACTGCCAGGACTCCTGCCAGACAGACTCAAAGGAATCCGGGTTTCAGACTCGAGCCTGGAGCTTAGGGTTCTCCATCTCCTTACGACTCAGAAAAAAAGGCCAAGACGTCTCACGCAGCTGCTTCTGCCTTTGGCAATTCTCCAGGCCAGGGAGGGCCGCTTGGAGTCAGGACATTTACACTCATGTACACTCATTTGATTACTTCTTCATCAGAGATTTATGGGAGAAAAGTTCATAGGAAGAAAAAAGAAAACCAAACAAACCAAATCAGCATGGACATGAGATGGGAATACTCCAAGGGCGGGGCCTTTGACAGCAAGGCGGTTTGTTTTCCGGTGTTAGGGCTGTTACTCGGGGCCTCGTACATGCCAAGTTAAGTATTTTACCAACGAGCTAGATGCCCACCCTGCAGCAGGATGCTGAGAAGAGACAGGGAACACTTCTTGTGATTGCTGAAGCAATGTTGTTTGGGTTGGTTTCTTAGATAGTCGTTGGAAAGCAATGTAGGAAGATGAACACTTCAGCCATAGGAGCCACGTGAGCAGTGAGAACGTCAGAGGCGTGGCCGCAAGCAGATCAGGCAGACTAGAGAACAGGTACAGGGGGAGAGCAAGAGGGTCAGGCAGGGGGCTCTGTCTAGACTGAAGATATAGGCAGCAGGAAGTCACTACCAGTTCTTGCAGAGTGAGGGTGATTCTTTCAGTGGCTGTGGCTCGGAAGGGTTGGAATAGGACACCTGAAGACTGACGACCAATTAGACAGCTGTTTGAGCAGCCTTGGGTGAGGTGACAGGGACTCAGCTACGGTGATGGCTGTGGGAATAAATACAGAGAGGAAGAACGGACCAAAGGAAGAATCCATGGCTCAGAGTGATGGTTGAGAGTCAGCGGGCCAAAGACAGGCAGCCAACAGACCACAAAACAGACTGGCCAAGCACCAACCCTTGGTGATTTTTAAAATGAATCAACTTGAGATGAAAGAACATTTTAATTCTCTGGCCACCAGGGTTCAATAAAAGTGCATGCTGTAAGCAGGGCAGTGGTGGCACACACCTTTAATTCCAGCACTCGGGGGGGGGGGGGCAGAGGCAGGCGGAGCTCTGTGAGTTTGAGGCCAGCCTGGTCTACAAGAGCTAGTTCCAGGACAGCTAGGGCTACACAGAGAAACCTTGTCTCAAAAAACTAAAAAAAAAAAGTACATGCTGCTTAAGAAATACAGGTTCATGCTTTATCATTCATCATTCTCATTCCTGTGTGTGTGTGTGTGTGTGTGTGTGTGTACAAGCAAGTTCACATACACTTTGCCTACACGCAGAGGCCAGAGGGCACTGGCCTCTATCACTTTCAACATTACTCCTTTGAGGCAGAGTCTCTCCCTGACCCTCGAGCTCATGCTTTAGGCTGGACTGGCACTCCGCGCACTCAGCAAGCTCCAGCCATCCCTGAGTCTATTCACCATGGCGCTGGGCTTAAAGAAGTGCGTGGGACTGTATCTGGCTTGTTGCATGGGTTCTGGATTTGAACTCGGGTTTCCATGGTTGTGCAGCAACCAGGAGCCATCTGAGTCATCTCGCTAGCATATTCACGGCTTCTGAAAAACAGTTCTAGGAAGTGTCTCTAGGGATACTGGCTTGAACTTTTCACATAAACTTGCATCTGGATGAAGCAATCTTAAAATTTAATAATAAAAATAGGTCAGAAACATTCTGAGTGCATACATTGGTTACATAATGTCTATAAAGGAAACTATAGAGAAGTTTCAGTTAAATTTTAAAACATCTGGACATTGCATAATGAATACACAGATCATTTTATCAAATTAATGCTGAAGACACTATCAAGGGCAAAAAGTTGAGCGCTGAGGAGAATTGGAAAAGCCAAAGGGTTCTTTAAATTTTTAGTTTAATTTTTGAATGTATTTTTTCTTCTTTCTAAAGTTCAGTTACCTACCTTTAGTGAAGATGTGATAAAATATAGATTATCTACAAATGAACAGACAATATACATACACGTAAAATACATACTTCACGAACATCAATATATTCATTCAGACATAGTTTTAATTGTTTTAAAAAGGAGTAGTGAACATTCAAAAATATATAAAAATTACCATAATGAGGAATAAGTCTCTCATTGACAAGACTTTGTAGGCCCTCAGACTTCACTATCTCTCCTCAGAAACCCTTGCCATCAAGGGTTTGGAAATCCCAGAGACACAGCAAATCCACTCCCAGGGGGGAGGTTTTGGACAGAAAGGCAAACATGGGAAAATTGTTTTTCACTCTGTAGTTACATGTTGCTTATTTTGGGTTTCATGGAAGGACATAAAGTTGACCAGTTGGAAAAACCGAATAGGAAACACAGTCATGAAATCAGCCTTTGAGTAAGGAATTGGGCTGTGGGTGGGTTGCAATAAACAAGACTCTCACCTGTGGGATGATACTGGGAAGAGAGGGGAGGGGTAAAGAGATAAAAGCCAGGTAAATGTGGTATCTAGGGTGAGCATAGCAACAGATGAGAGGGGAGGGGCATGACACAGCAGAGGATGGAGCCGGAGAGCAGGTCTTAACTGGGGAGAAATGAGCGGGAATCACGGAGGATGGAATCCAGCAGAGTGACCAGCGCTCACTTGCAGCAGCAAGGGAAAATGCAAGGCTATTAAAGATCACCAGGCCATCCTACCTCGTAGCTGCGTCTATCCTGGGAGGTCAGCTCGAAGCATGCTTCTTTCTTGGAGTCTTTTCGCAGGTGGGGGGCCATGCGGACACTGTATCCCTTAATGAAGAAGGTCCCTTTGGGCTGTTTGCCTGCAAGATAGCAAAGCTCCCTGCATCTCTAGAGAGTCACAACAGCTAAAGGGAAGGCATCTTCTCTGGGATGGAAAAGAAAAAGCACGAACAGCTGTTACATCCCCGAGGAACCACAGCTGTCGGAGAAAGGTTATTAGGGACGCCTGGGACGAGGCTACAGTCAGACAGATCAGCACCAAGCAAGGGAAATCCAACATGAAAGGTTATTTTACAAAAAGTGTACAAGAGAGACGGGGAATTTATTAGAATGTTAAGAGATCTCTAATAACCGAGAGCAGGAGTTATTACAGCCGGGAGAGTGGTTGTAAATGCGGGGCTCTCAAAAGCTATTACAGAGCCCAAACATTATTATCAGGGCCAGCAGAGTTCACGTTCAAGGAGGGGGCACAGCAGCACAGGGGGTTATCCTCAAGTCCCTGAATCTCCTTCCATACCCTACCTCAAACGCTTGCTCCCCTCCCCTGTGAGCTAGGAGGGGATTTATGCTGGAGGAAGAATAATTCAAACTCAGCGCTGGATCCTCTTCCAAGAGGTAAACTGGGAAGTAGCCAAGTAATGCATCAGGAGAGGATGAGGAAGGAAACAAAGAGAAAGGGACCCTAAAGAAGGGAAAGAGATGCCACTCTGCCAGTCACCTCTATTCTAAAAAAAAAAAAAATTACAATATCGGACTCTCCCCTATGTCCCTGAGAGAGGTTGTGCCCATGTTCTGTGGTTCAGACAGAATATGTTGAGGGCGGAAAGCGCAGTGACTGGATGATGTCGGTGCCCTCTGTCAGGCGGAGGGAATTGGAATTGAGTCTTTCCCTCACCCCATTCAGGGCTGAAGACTGAACCCAGGGCCTCAGATGTCTTTGGATGATAACGGTGGCAACTGAAGGACAAACAGGGAGGGGGAGAGCGAGAGAGAGAGAGAAGGAAAGGTTCTATTTTTACCTGGTTGAGCTAAAAGAAACACACAAACACTCTACCCGCTGAGAAAATGTCCTGGACACGATAAGGAGTGGCTGGAGAGAGGGGAGCCATGCAACAGTGCTTTCTGACACCAGAATCTTCTGTGCTAAAGTATCCCTCCTTGCTCTAACTGGCCACTAAAATGTTTTGTTGTTGCTTTGGTCGCCAGATTTTATTTCACCCTGACGGCAAAATGGTCAATAAAAGTCTCCAAGCCTCTTGCTCTCTGTTTTCTCCCCCTCCCCTCTTACCGTAAGACCTGAGTTCTGAATGAACAGACTTGGCTTTATAGCCAGATATGCCAAGACTTATCAGCATTTTTAAAAGACATTTATTTTAATTCTGCATGTCTGAGTGTTTTGCTTGCATGCATATATGTGTACCATGAGTATGTCTGGTGTCTTCAGAAGCCAGAAGAGGATATCAGATCTCTTGGAACTGGGGTTACGGATGGCTATGGGATACCGCATGGGTGCTAGGAGCTGAACTTGGGTCCTTTGCAAGAGCAATAAGTGCTCTTAACCATGGCGTACTTTACCCAGCACCCCAAACACTTATTTAAATGCAAGGGGAATGATGGACAGTTTCATGGTGGTCCAAATATCATACTAGTTTGAAGAATGGAGCGACTGCTTTGTAGGTCTAGAATTAGCTAACTAATCAATTAGCCAAGTTTTTCAGACCAAGTCTTATAAAGCCCAGGCTGGCCTTTGGCCAGCTGAGAATGGCCTTGAACTCCTGACCCTCCACACTCCACCTCGTGAGTGCTGAGATTGCAGGCTTGCACCATCACGCTGGTTTTATGCAGTGCTGAGGATCGAACCCAGGGCTTCATGCATGCTAGGCAAGCATCTACCAATTGAGCTGTACCTCCAGGTGAGAACCCACACTCGCTGAACTTGCAAGTGAGCTGGGGGCTGCAGGCCACAGAGCTTCTGCGGCTCAGTTTTCCAGTACGCCGCTGTCAGCTCCCAGTACCCCTGAGTGGGAAAGATTCTGAGGAATCCACGACGGTCCAAAGGTGAAGTCAGTGACAGGAGGAGGGGTAGGGTGAGGCAAACCTCACAAAGCCAACAGATCCTAAGGACTCCAGGTCACTACCAAACTGTTGCTCATTCTGCTATGGTTGTGCCAAAGGTGCCGGGAGATTGTTCTCAGGCTAGGTGTCTAGGCTCAGGAGCATGCAGTTTAGAAAGGAAGTTGGGGGGGGGGAGGGAGGGCAAACAGCACCTGGAAGGCAAATCTAAGGCCTCTGTAGCGCTACCACTGGTCTCTGCATGAAGGTGGCCGAGCCCAAGGAAGCCTGTTGGAGCACTTGGCTCATCTCCTCTCCCTCCTGTCTCCTCTTTAGGAGCTGGCATTCATTTTGTTTGTTTGTTTGTTTATTTATTTGGCAGTTTCTCTGTGTAACTAAAATCTCTGGAAATCTCTTTGTAGACCATGCTGACCTTGAACTCATTGAGATCCTCCTGCCTCTGCCTCTGGGATTACCACTGCCCGGCCTACAATACTAACATTTAGTTTGTATTTATTTGTAGCTCCCACAATTGTGTGTTGAAACCCTCTCTTCCCTCTCAGAGCCTAAGTAGCTGTGTTCAGAGGGATGAGCAGTCTTCTAGGGACGGCACGCGGTGGCTCATTAAGGCACTGCCTCTGAGTCAACGCTCGGCTGTTACTGCTGCCATCTGGCTGAAGGTGTCTCTTGGGTACAACAACTATTTAGGCTTCAACAATCTGTGGCTCCAGTGATGTCCACGGGACTACTAATTCCCGATAGTTGTGAATATGCTCTTGGAAAGTCTGAGCCCTAAGAGTCTACTTGTGGGCTATTGCTAAACACTGCTTAAATCTTTCTCCAGATTATTGTCATTATATTATTATTTTGTGTGTGGTGGTAGGAATTGAATTCAGGTCCTTGCGTACAACCATCTGTAATGGGGTCTGGTGCCCTCTTCTGGCCTGCAGGCATACATATAGACAGAATATTGTATACATAATAAATAAATATTTAAAAAAAAATGTCTGCCTCCCGTCTCACTGTAAAGAACCCGGGCTACAGACCTGTATTCTGTATTTTGACCCCACTTAGTGTTTAAAGAGGAAAACGGTGCTAAACTGGTCTGTGTTTTTGGTGGTGGGCAAGGCGTTAGTTACCCAGGTCTATTTCTTTTTTTTAAGCACCTCGCTCTCTGGGTGTTAGTTAAGGACTGTTACCTAGACATCTAAGTGCTGGAGAATTTACGAAGCGCTGGCATCCAGGAGCGAGGGAGCTGCTGTGGAAACGGAGAAGACTTACTTTTCTCATTGGCATAGTAGAGGAAGAGGCCTCTGCTGACAACACACCATCGCTTCTGCCACTCGGACCCAAAGAAGCTGTGATCTACGCGGAAGGGAGAGAAGAGACATAAATTCAGGTAACTAGAATCGCCCAAGAGTCTGTAAAACCCAGCAGCACAGTCGAGTGGGTTATTGTTTTATTTCCCAGGTTAATGGACTGTAAAACCCTCCTTTTCACTCCCACAGGTTACCCCGTAGTGACTGAGTGGTGAGGGTGAACTCCATCCTGGGCCCAGGGTCTCAGGAAGCTTGCTCCTCCCTGCCTCCACGGCTGCCTTTTCATCTAGCTAGCTATTTCTCTAGGCTCACAGCTCACCCTGCATTTTTCAAACTTTCTATGATATCTTCGTTTGTTTGCCTTTTGGAGACAGAGTCTCCCTTAGTAATCCAGGCTGGCTTGAAACTCATGGCTTTCCTCTTGCCTCAGCCTCTCTAGTGCTGGGATAATAGGCATGCATCATTATACCCAACTGCTAGTATTTCCTTATGTGTTGCTTTCCGTGAACCAAAATGACGATACTCCAGGTCCTACATGCGATGGCCAGGAGATGGGCTTTCTTTCTTTCTTTCTTTCTTTCTTTCTTTCTTTCTTTCTTTCTTTCTTTCTTTCTTTCTTTCTTCCTTCCTTCCTTCCTTCCTTCCTTCCTTCCTTCCTTCCTTCCTTCCTCTTTCTTTCTTTCTTTCTTTCTTTCTTTCTTTCTTTCTTTCTCTCTCTTTCTTTCTTTCTTTTTCTCTCTCTCTGTGTCTCTCTCTCCATCTCTCTCCCCCTCCCTTTCTCTCTCTCTGCCTCTCTCCCTCCCTCCTTTCCCCTTCTTTTTCTCTCTCTTTATTATTTTGTTCGTTTTTGTTTTTTGAGACAGAGTTTTTCTGTAGCTTTGGGGTCTGTCCTGGAACTAGCTCTTGTAGACCAGGCTGACCTCAAACTCACAGAGATCCGCCTGCCTCTGCCTCTTCCTCCCGAGTGCTGCATTAAAGGTGTGCGCCACCACTGCCCAGCTCTTCTTTTTCTTTTTGAGAATGTGTGATAAACCAATTTGCTTGTTGAACATTAAAACAAGAACTCTGGCCCTTGTAGCACCTATTTTAATTGAATGACTTAAAGGGTCAGGAGCTGGGCATGTCTGAAATTTGGAAGCAGGTTGCTTCACACTTGGAAAGACTACATTCTTGGAAAAAAATAGTTTTCTTTCTTTTTTTTTTTTTTTTTTTTTTTTTTTTTGCAAGACATGGTTTCTTTGTGTAGCCCTGGCTGTCCTGGAACTTACTCTGTAGACCAGGTTGGAGGTTGGATTTAAACCCAGAGAGCTACCTGCCTCCACCTCCAAAGTGCTGGGATTAAAGGTGTGTGCCACCACCACTCCCTGGCTAAAGTGTCACTCTTTGTGGGAGCACACTGAGAGATGAGGACAAGAATATCAACCATCCATCCATCCACCCACCCAACTCACCCAGAGAAAGGTCTGACTTTCTCTGCCTCCCACATGCCATTAAAGATGCCACAGCTGGGCAAGTTCCAATCCCAATAAAGCCCACAGTTGGCTGAAGATTTGGGCCTTCTCTATTAGGTTGAAACCGACTAACTAGTACTACACTTCTTTCATTTCCTGGCCTTTGCCTTACATTGGCCTAGCACAGCACCAGGAAGGCATCCTATAGCCTAGCAACATCTCCCTCCCTTCTTCCCTCTCCCCCACCCCTCCTGGAATGGCCCACTCTTCATGGGTTCGATTAATACCTTTGCTTTTCTTCTCCAAGTAGCCCTGCTTGATGATGTTATCCAGCTCCTGGGCCCCTCTTAAGATGTTTTCCACTCCTAAAAGGAACGATAGTAAAATGCTTTGTTTAAACCCGTTAGAATTTCCATTTAAGCTACTTTAGATTATTCACATTAATGATGGAGTCCGGAAGGGTAATTGTTTAAACGTAGCACAAAATACAACAATTTCTATATGATTAGGGGAAAAAGTTAATTTTCTTCCTAATTATATCTAATGCTAATATTGCTTAAAATGGCTAACCATACATTAACTTGTGGTAAGGGGAGGGAGCCTAAATATGGACTGATTGGCAGGAAGAGGACTCTGGGGAACGAGGGATTTGCAGTGGCTGTGAGCTCTAAATTGGGTAATCCACACGGAGATAATCAAAAGTCAAATGACTCGCAACCAGGAAGGACAGGCTCCAGTGAGTAATGGACTCTCCATGCAGGCCGCCATTTCAAAAGGGACAATAAAGGCACAGCCACTTGTGGGTTTTGTTGTCATTATTTCTGTGTGTGTGTGTGTGTGTGTGTGTGTGTGCGTGCATGTGCACATACGAATGTCAGAGGTCAACACTGGGCATCTTTCTCTATTACGCTCCGTCTTAATTTTTAAGGCAGGGTCTCTTTGGGAACCTGGAGCTCACCTATAGGCTACGTTGGCTACTAAACTCTGGGGAATGTGGCTGTCTCCACACCCCAGTGCCGGGCTCACAGACTAGTGTAACCTTGTCCAGCTTTTGTGTGGGTGCTAGGGATCCGAACTCTGGTCCTCCCATGTACACAGAGCGGTTTGCCTACGGAGCCATCGTCCCAGTGTGTTTCACCTGGACAGCTATTCCGGAGAACATGGCTTTTGTGGCGTTCACGCGAAGGGCTATGCAAGGTGAATTTGGCAATAATGACCAGATCTTGGATTTTTCAAAGTATGTTGTGTGTGTGCGTGCATGCGTGTGTTTCAGAATCATAGAAGCTTTAGCAAAAAAGAAGACCTTAGGGCTGACATGAACCTTTAACTGCAGGACAGTGACATTCTTTGCTTTTAATGGCCTCCTTAGGTACAAATTTATTGGGATGCCAAAGTCCTAATTCATCTTCCTGCCTGGGGTTTATACTTGCTTCACAGAAAGGAGGGGCAAACTTAAGGGTGAAACCATTTTTTTTTCTGTTTTTGGACCTTGCAATAGCTAACGTCTATTCAGCAACGGCTATGAGGCAGTGTTCTGCTCAGTGCTTCACTTGCATTTTGTTTAAAAATTTTTTTTGAGCAGGAAATGTAGCTCAGTGGTAGAGCACTTGCGTAGCACGTGTGAGCCCTAAGTTCAATTCCCAGCCCCTCAAAAACACAACTCCTTCCCCTGCCACACAATTAAGATGGCCATTTTGCTTCTAAGCTATTTCCAGCCTAGTTTTAAAAACCCAGCTCACAGGGCTGGAGTGTTGCTGGCCCTGTGGTTGAGGGCTCATTGCTTTTGCTTTGGTTCCCAGCGCTCCCGCTCCCGTGGAGTCTCACAAATTTGACAGCAAATTTGGTCCCAAGGTCTCAGCTGCCCTCTTCTGGCCTCTGAAGGTACAAGGCCCTTATGGGGCACATATACATACATACAAACAAACATTCATACACATAAAAACAAAAGTCTTAGAAAACCCACAAACATGGATTGGAGGGCGGAGAGATGGTATGGGGTTAAGAGTGTGTGCTGCTCTTAGGGGGTTCTAGCCTTGGCTTCCTGGCACTCAGGTTCAGCGGCTTCCAACTGCCACTGACTCCGGCCTCCGCACACACCTGCACTCACTTGTGCAACTCACATGTGCACTCACACGTGCACGTGTGCTTGTGCACCATCCCACCAAAACCTAAAAAAAATAAACCAGGAAAATTAGGAATCCTTTTTTTTTTTTTTTGCTTGTTTGTTTGTTTGTTTGACTTGTCAACTTCCTTGTTCATAGAATCTTCTTCCATCCTGTCTTTCCCTCTCTCTCCCCCTTTCTTCCCCCCCATCATTCACCCACCCTGCTGCTTCTTTTTTGTTTTTGAGACAGGGTCTCACTATATAGCTCTGACTGGTCTGGAACTCACAATGTAGACCAGGCTGCTCATCGTCTGGGCAACTGTTTTCATTTGTAGGATTTACAGTTAGTAAACTCTGTGTTGGGCATAGATCCTTTCAGATGGGTCTTGGGGTACATGTCTGAGATGAACCACAGCAAATGAAGGCTAATTTTCCTAGGGTTTTTCTACCCCTCCCATCCCCGTCCCTCCGAAATTCGAGACCCCCTGAAAATACCCTCCAAGAACTGGTGCTGATTCTTCTTCAGGTGGGAGGTCACATGAGGTGGGAGGTCACATGGGGTGGGAGTTCATGTGAGGTGAGGATCAGCAAAAGGGAAAGCGCTCTGATGGAGGTTTTCCTCTCAAGTGGCATTCACAAAAAACCCGGCTTCTTGAGGCCTTAAATTCAAATGGAAGACACAGGGGCTGAGAGACCCAGGATCTTCCAAGCTATATCTTGCTACAAGTTTCTTCTTCTTTTTTTTTAAGGTCTTGTTAAACTAAGAGAGTTTCTTGTTAAAATCCGAATCATAAAAGACATGTGAAGAGTCTTATTAGAATTCAAACCTCCTTTTTTAAATGCAAATCTAAATGCCATTTTATGGAACATTTATAATTATGAAAATGGAAAGACATCGCCTCGTGCGTGGGGAGAGTCTGTGTGTATGAATATTACATTAATGCGCCCACACCAGCTCACTGATCCTGCTGGCAGGAGCATAAAAAATGCTTGAGTGAAACTTTTATTTAGATGCTAAGACTCCAGGCCCCAGCGGGGTGACAGAGACAGCCCCTGTGAGTTGTCGGCAGAGGCAGAGCTAGAATTGAATTACCCAGGGGGAGGAAGGAGTGACGAGCCCGCTTCGCTTATTTAATTTCATTTACTTTCAGTACATTATCAGCGTGAGGCTCTTCTCTCCCCACCAAGTGAAACCCAAGAACACCGCCACCCCAAAAACAAAGGCATAATGCAGCCGAGACATCTGAACTCCAAGTCACTAATTCTAGGCCTGCAGGGAGAGCGCCATCCCACCTCCTCTCCCCCAGATGCAGACTCAGCTTGCTAAGATCCGTGTGTGTGTGTGTGTGTGTGTGTGTGTGTGTGCGTGCGCGCGCGCGTGCGGTGGCAGAGGGATGGGATTATAGAAGAAATTAAGAATGCTTGTGAAAAAAGATAGTCAGCCAAGTCCAGCCAGTGTATGATTGAGTGGACAGGCATGGCTGTGCGTCCAACACTGGTCTCCGTGTAGACCTGACTCTTAGCCTCATTAGCTCACTGAATCTACGCAACCAAGGTTGGGAGCTGTTGTGTCCTTTCACCGGCTCCTCTTTCGGCGTCATCCAGGGCCCTGATCAAGACCTGGCAGCCAGGGAATGCTCATGGTGAGACACACTCTGGAAGGTGAGGCAGGGGACTCCTCCATCCGGGTCCACACCCCCGAGCCAACAAATGGCTCTGTGCCTTAAGGAGAATGTAAGCGTTTTCCACAGTGATGGGAAGAATAGGAAGAAGCCACACACAGCTGTGCAAGCTGCTATTCCAAAGGCAAAACCAGGGACAGTTAAATATAAAATTGTAAAAGAGACACTTTGGGGAGGGGGATCTACTACCTGAATAGTAGCTAGGCCATCATGATGAAAAAACCTAGAAACTGTTTCAATTTGCTGGGAACAAACGGTCCTCTAGATAAACCTATGCAAGTATTACATTGTATCAGCACGAAGCAGAATTGCATTAGTGTCATAATCTCTCTCCACCACTATACTTAACTAAGTCTCTCTGAGCAGCCCGCGTGAAGAAAAGATTCACTTAGCCGAAGGATGTTTGGCCATAAAGATAAGATCAACAGAGAAGTGTGTTACTTAGAAGTGACGGCTGCCCAACTTCCACGGCAAATGAAGATCAAGGAAATTCTCAGACATCCCTCCCTCCCCCCCATACTTCTAAACTCTCGCATCTCGCTCAGAAACCATAAAAAAATGACAGGGTGGGACTCCATCTCTTAGCGCCAAACGCGACTCTTCAGTCAGTTCCTTGTGGCAACAACATGGGGACCTTTGGAGTGTGAAACGTTTCCATAAAGCAGTTAATAACAGACATGGGAGCGTACGTGTGCCACGGCCTATTTAGCCAGCTGTGTTCTAGCCTACGGAGAAAAGAGAGTCGGGGAAATCGGTGGACAACATACAGCACAAGGCTAGTAGCACAGGAGAACACCCAGTTTCCCTGCAAAAGACGCTGCAGCCCTTGAAGAACAAACCACAGGCAGTGGGGTTGACCTCTTGCTAACTCAACCTGAAAAGACCAATGATTTTGGGAAAATGTGTGTGTGTGTCTGTGTCTCTCTGAGTATTTTTTTCCAGTTCTCTCCCAACTTAAATTGCGGACTTCTGTCATCATTCCTCTTCCTTTTGATTCAAGCTCTTGAGAAGAAACCACCTACACCCAAGCCTAAGGACTGCTAGCTACCGGGGGATGGCTTTCAGGTAACGTGGTCGGTACCGGGGGGGTCTGGCTACTGAGAGTAGAGAAAACCTGGTGTTTGAAGGCCGGGAATGGTCAGGTTCCATCGTAAGTCCAACTCACTAACTGCAGTCTGTCTGTTGTGCAAAAACACATACTTTCTTTTTTTATAAAAACAAACTAAAAATTTATGTATATAGGTATGGACACGTACACACACGCATGTGTGTGCGCATATAGATATATTTATGTATGGCGCGTATTTGTAGGAGCCCACAGTGGCCAGCAGAGGGCACTAGATCCCCTGGAGATGGAGTTACAGGGAGCTGTGAGCTGCTGGGAACCCGACCTCCGGAAGAATAGCTGGTGCCCGGTTGAGCCATCTCTCCAGTCCCTGTGGCCTTCTCTCCTAAGTTCATTACGCCTTGTTCTTAGTCTGTTTTTTTTTTTTGGGTTAACTTGTTTCCCCCTTATTCTCAAGTTTCAAGAACTGGCCGATGGTAGTCTGTCTGTGGTACTGTACATCTCCTGTTGCTG